GGTTAGGAAATCACAGAAAGGATGCTTCATCCCTAAAGCTGTCTATGAGGGTCCTGTTTTCATGTCCAAAAGCACTTCCCAAAAAGTATGGTTAGAAGGAATTTTAGATAAAATTGAGGTGGAAGAAGGACATTTCTTCACTTTTTTCTGTGTAAAATATTAGACCCCAAGGGTCCATTCTGTCATCCCAGTACACTCAGGCAAAGAAAGATTGATCAGGTTGCTAACACAGAGTTCATCACCATACCACTGCCAAAACCTTACTTTTCCAAAACAAGCAGGAAAAGTCTTGAAGCTCCTAGAAGAGGCGGATAACTATTGTGGAGATATGTCCTTGGACAGATGCTGTAAACAAAGAAATCCCTCTTCCCTTTCCCCAGTTTTGAGTAGATTCAAACCTTATTGAAGACAAAGAAACAGTAACCAAAAACCCCAACCATATGCGTCACATATGAAGATGGTGTGTAAAGCCCCAAACTTATTTTTGGGTATGGTCAGACATCATGGATCCTGCCACATCTGATGTCTGGCCTCTCACTCTGTGAAGACTGGGGGCTTTCCATAGGCTGCCTGTTAGACAGTAATCTCCAAATTCAGCAGTCCAAAACGTGGCTCAGCAGCTGTTTGCCTGCTCTACTTAGCCTAAACAACCAGGCTGGAAGGATAGTTATTATTGCCCTGTGGTGTCTAGTAGGATGTCTTTTCAATCTGCCCCGTGACAAATTCACATAGAGGACCTCAGTTGTGCTGAACATCAGCTTTCACTCTCAAGCTCTTACAAAACTACTGAAGAGATCTAGATGGACCCAAATATCTCAGCTAAATGGTGGCTGTCCCATGCTCAGTATTCTGCTGCGTGCTAAAGTTCTACCAAGGTCAGTATAACCTGCATCCTGCAGGGACGTGACCTAGGCCACACTGAGGGGTTAAGCATGCCAATTTCAGCAGGAAAAGAGAAAAAAGACATCTGCTTATTGCTTTGGGCTTTGTTATAAACAGGTACGCCTGAAAACCATTTTCTAGCAGTGCACAGCTACAAACACAATATTATTTCTAGAAACCACCCATGGCCTCAGTGCTGAAAGATGCAGAGAGGCCTCAGCATTAGGAACGTCAAGTTCTCTTGTTCCAGACTGCGGTTTCCTTACACCTTTCCATTTTGGCATAAGTTTGCAAAGCCACTCTCCATTTTTAATATTTAAAGGTTAGCTGACGCACCAAGCATATTCTTGGGAAATGGTGTAGCTGCAGTTCCAATAGGCATAGCTGAAAGTGGGAAAAGTAACGTGGCTGTATATCTCAAACAAATGGGGCGACAAGCTGCATGAGCCAGGAAATAAATTTTTGCCTTGCCTAGGGAGTAAGTTTTACTTTCTGCTTCAAACTATAAAGATGATGGCTAAAATTAGATGATTCATGTTGATTCACTACAGGTATAAAAACAAAAAGTCTCTCTGACCAAATTCTTTAGTGGGCACGAGAGCCTTTTTTGTTAGAAGCAGAAAAAAATCCAAAAGGCAAAAAGCACAACACATTCACACATGCTTAAAAGTTACTGTTTTTTACCCTGGAAAATGTGGTTTCTGTAATTGAGGGTTGTAAAAAAGAAAAAAACCTTTTAAAGCATCCCACTCGATTAGTCATTCCAGGGTGGGTCAGTCTTATCATATCACGTGATGTCCAGTAATGGTGATGCAATAAAACAGATGCTGTCCGAATTTCGTGCCACCAGTCTGCAGCAAAACTATGCAAATCAAACCACTGTCCTTTTCTAGAAATTCCAAAACATCCCATCTCTTCCAGGCCCTGTGCTTAGTAGCCTCTGCCCTCCCAAACAAACTAAATACATGATCATTTCTTCAGCAGCACATGACAAGAATGAGTTCCAGACTACTGGAAATACAACCCAGTGGAAATTCTTGTTGTGTACAGAGGGGTACTGTAACTTCTTGGAAAAAGAGATGGGAAAAAATAATATTTCCATAAATTGATTACAGTCTGGTATTCATACTTTTATACTACATATATTTATATACTTATATTGTCTGGCAAGAAGCAGTGTACATAAAATCTCATACTGAGGCAGGATCAAGCCTTTCTGTATCAGTGTATCTGACACTGTATCACCCCTGAAAGTTTTTACCCAACATAAAAGGAGGATGACAAAATGGTACCAATTCTGTTTCTATTTGGTATATTTCTCATCAAGCAGATATGTGCATATGGAAAAAGGAAAGGTAATGTGCTGTACTGTCAAAATTAATGGCTAATTCATTCAAACAAATTTCTGTCAAGTAGAGGATGTGGCTTTGAGTGACTAGCTATAATCAACTTCTATCCAAAAAATGAGGGAAAGCCCAATAAATGTGCTACACACAAGATTTTATTGGCACAAAGTGAGATAGTGTTAGGAAGACACAGGGAAGTACAAGGGTGCAATCAGAATGACTAGCAGCTAGTACAGCAGTGCCTATAAATCAGGTTGTCTAAATAAATGATAAGGTATGATTTTTACATTGAATCTGGTTTTACTTGAAAAAATGGTAATATTTCTACTAGAACGCGTAGCCTGGAAGTTATTTATGGGTGAACCTTTCTTCATTCTGTAGGTGAAAACAGCAAATACACAGCAACGCTGTCATCCCCCTTGAAACTTTTGACTTCATTTAGATACATGTCCTGCCAAGTTTTGGATTAATTTTCTACCATAAAAATAAAGTTCTCTAAAAATCTCTGAAGCTACTTTGGGTATATAAGTAAACCCTAGTGGGAATTTCCCCAGTGGGAAAATGCACTCCATTTCCAATTACACTTCTAAAATTTGTAGACATGACTTGTGTAGATAAAAAAGAGGTACCAGAGATTAATTTGATTGTGTAATAAATTCCTGAAGAATGAAAAGCAGAGCTTTCAAAATATGAACCCAGATGGAGTGAAAAGACAGAACGTGATGGCAATGGCCACGTGGCAAGTGCAATTGGGCAAAGAGCCCATTACCATTGGCTTGCTACAGATCAGAGCTGACCAGTGTACCCAAAGAAGACACAACCAGGGTCAATAGGTGCCTCCCTAAATTAGGCTCCAGAAATATCTGTTGCTGTTGGCACCAGAAGTTTGCTCAGCCACTGTGGTATGTGTACATCAGAGAAGTCAACTGAGCTGAACTGAGCTGTGGCAGAACCAAATTGCCCTAGAATTTACCCTTTGTGCTTGAGTAACTCCATGTCCTCTCTGCAATGGTGGCCCCGTGAGGCTGAGGCAGCAGAAGCTTGCTGTGAGACAGAGGTGACCACTCCAGCATCCAGTGGAGCCAGAATGTTGCTTGTGGGAAACAACTCAGACACAACAACCATTTTGAGAGGTCTCCAAGTGCTGGCCCAGGAGTGGGGCTTGGGACTTACCCTGGAAAAGGCCTGGGGTAAAGTTCAGCAGTGGCTGATGAAATTGAGACTGAGGAAATAAAGTGTTTGGCCTCAGTAAGAAGAATAGGGATAGTTCTGGCGGGTTTTTGATGGAGTAATCATTGAAGAAACCTGATTTGCAACAGAATAGCAACAAAGTGAGTTTAAGGACTAAAGGCTGGTGAAGGAAACTGCAACAAAACCATTGCTTGGTCACAGGATAACACCTTTTTTAGTGTTTATGTTTTCCCAGATGGAACACTCAAAAAGCTTGCAAAAGACCCACAATGCCACCGGTTGTACCCTGCCTTTGGTTTTCATGCTCAATCCTTTCCCCACCAGTACACAATGATGTGTGAAGGCTGAGTTTGAGCTAGTAACAGAGGTGTTTAGGGAGTCATGGATACCCAGGAAAGGGCTGCCGTTATTGGGCCTTCTTAACCTATAACTCAACCCAAAAAATATCCTTCCATGTCTGCAACCATGTGGTCCCAGATCCCACATACATAGACTTCCCATCCCCTGTATGATGCATGGTGCTCTAGCATGGCACCTTGGAGCAACTGAGAGAACAGAGGGATGCAAATGGCATTTGAAAGTGGAAGAGCAGGAACTGAGACCTATTAAATGAAAACAGAAAGAGAATTGAAATATAAAGAAAATTTCCCTCAAAACATGAACTTTGTACTGAATATTTCAATACAGGCTATGCAACAAATTGAGGTAGCATTGCAGTCAGAAATGGATATGTAATCTTTATGCATTCATTGGAACGTGAAAAGCTTAAAAGTGCTGTAATATTATAGTCTATGGCCTTTATTGGAGGCAGACAAGACATGCAATGGTATGACGTTTAATTTGGAAGGGAACATATTTTCTGGTTCTTTTGTACTTTTTAACTTAGGTTTTGTTTGGGAGACATAGTCTAGTTACATTAATCATTTATGCTTTGTGAATTTACTCAAAAGAATTGTGTGAAACCAATACAGAAGAGGAGATCACCATTCTGCTTGGAACAGGCATTAGCATGAGAGTTCTGGACCAAACAGAAGGAGTGTGGCAAATGTACTGTGCTGCAGCAATGATTTGTCATTTTTCTAGCTGTGTACTTAAGCAATGGCAAATTTACACAAACTCTTAGGTTTTGCTTTCTGACTGCAAGAATGAATACAATGAAGGAATAATTCTGGACAAATTTATTTTAATTGCCATCCTGTCAAAATGGTTAAAGAATTTATCATTTTCTGAACTGACCATATAACAAGTGGGGTCAGCCATGGCAACACTGGTTTTAGTAATTCTCCTGCCTGCAACATTATGGGTGCAAAGAACTTTCTGGAGAAGTTGTGAAATCTAGAAACATTCTGTTGGGCAATTTGACAGAAAACAATAGTATGCACGGAAATAAAATGATTTTCTAGGCTTAAAAATAGCCAGCATTAAACAGGTGATACTGCACAGGTCTGTCACTCTATGACTATGTAGTCATAGAGTTTATTACCCAACACTTGTATTCTGATGTTTCCATTTCTGAATAACTCAAATTGCTTGCCAAACATAAGGAAACTTAAATTCCAAAGATGATCCAATGCTGTGTCAAAGAGGAATCAATCATTTTCCAATAGATATCCAGGAAATATCTTGCCAGAATCTCAGTGTGAGGCAATGAAGTCTCTGTAACTGAAGGCAGAGGCCAACTGATTTTACACAGTTCTTCAGCATGATTCAGTTTTCCAATACCCAGTATCTGAAGTAACCATGACTGTTTCATCTTGAACATTACTGTTTCTGAATTTGCATTGTTGGAATATTTACCTTTCTTCATTTCCAGCTGTCAATTGAAGAGCTTGTTAGTGGCTGACACTTGCGAATTTATATGCATGAAGGATGTTAGCCATGAGTTGGTCATGGATTAGATTACCCATCCGCATCTTCTGTGTGCACAGTATCCCAGAGTCTCTCAGGCAGGGAGGGATCCCAGGAAGTGTCTGCTCAAAGAAGGGTCAGAGCTCAGTTCAGACCACATTGCACAAGCCTATGTCCTTTTGGGCTTTGAAAGTCACCAGCGCAATGCCCTCTTCTTGGTATCCTCCTCCTGCACCCCAAGATGCTACACTGAGGTCCCACCCCAGATCACCCTGCCAGGTTATTTTGGCATGAGGAGCCTTGCTGAGCAGTGCTGTGCAGCTGAATGCTCAGGCAGCTTCGGAACACAGACGTGCACAGACTTCTCTCCTTTTGGGTCATGCCTTTCCCATGTCTCATATCATTATTACTGCTCAATGCCCTGGGGAAGAGCATCTCAGGGAGGGCTAGCAGAGACCTCTGGAGTCTCCCTGTTGACCTAGAGAATTATATTTAAGATTGGAATGTCTCTGGGGAGTGCTTACACACCACGATCATAATAGTAGCACAGTGAACCTTGTGTGTGAGAAGAAAAGATTTAAAGGAGCCAGAAATAAAGACAAGTTCCATTAGCCATTTGCTAGAAGTGACTTGTCCTTGTTTTCCACTCTTAGAGCTGTGGACTTGGACAGGCAACAGAGGAAACCTTCCCTTCCCAGAATTTTTAACCAAGCTGAATGGATTTCTGTGAGAGAGCTGAAGTGGCTGACAGTGATGGGAAAGATAATCAATGCTAGGGTGAATGCTTTGCTTCACTGACTCAGACATTGCTCAGTTAATGTTACATTCAGCACTTGCAAGATTCCAGCACAACCCTTGTGGCTTTCCCCACTGGTTTTCTTCACTGAATCTCCATTCCTGGTAGGGCTGAAGTGGAAACAGAAGAGAGGCATGCACCATCAGATGCAAGTAATATCCCACAACTGAGCTTGCGCTCCTTGATAAAGTAACAGCAAAAATTTATAAACTAGACATGAATAAATTCAAGCTGGAAAGTAGGAGCTGTCTAACTGTTAGAGTAAGAGGATCTTGCAACACCCTATTCATAGGAGCAGCGGGAGGCAAAACAACATGATTATTTTTAAGATGGAGCAACCCTGTTCTTGTGAAAGGGAAGTGTAGTAACACAAGGACCTGACCTTTGTGGTCCAAGAAATCCTAGTGCTCTCTTGATTGGTAGGAAAGGTGAATTTATGCTTATTCATACAGAGAAAAACAAATTATTTTCCCTTTATTTTGTAGAGGATTATAATGGATTCATGTAATGTGAGTGAGTGAGGAAACACTCGTAGCTTCAAATGTGGAGTACTGCTCCAAAACAAGGAATGCAGCTGCTCCATTTTATAAATGTGACTTGTGTTTAGTGAAGCCTTGGGAGCATTTTTTTTTTTTTTGCCTAATTAAGCATCCTTTATAACCACATGTTTGATGAGAAGTGTCATATTTCTTGGCTCTTTGTTTTTTACAAAAAATCCCAGCAACAAAACCTTTCAAAAGCAGATGTGTTACACTTATCTGCTATTGGGTAAACAAGTTGTGGATTTTGGGGTTTGTGATTTCGTGACCTGCTACCAGTGTCTAAGACATGTCATGAGGTTTCAGTTTGGCTCATTCACACATATAAAATCCACAAATGTTAAAAATGTGACTGCCAGAGCACTTACCCTCGTCTCTTATACTGCCAGCCCCAGCCCTATTTAAGAAGGGTGGCAACAACCTCCCCACATTTCTGTGTGAGTGTCCAACCAAACCTCTTTCATTTCTGGTGGACCTTCTCCTAAGGGTGGTCTGCAGCTGCTGGGCTGAAAATTGGTGATATGCTACTTATTGTCACGCTGCATTTTTGGAAATTCTATTAATTTCCAATATGAAATACCAGTCAAGATGGTCCTTCTACAGAAGGTCTAACTGGCTGCTGTTCACCACAGCTATTAATGACCTTTTTCTGAAATTTAATTTCCCATAGTTGTAGATTTTGTGGGCAAAGCAAAAGCAATCGGTGTCATACATCTTAAATATAACACTCATAAATAAGGTGGAGAAGCATGGTCAAGACAAACTGAGGATTCTGGGGAGGAGAAAAGTTTCAAGAAAACCACATAATCTGTGGAGTCAAAGGGATCCAGTGAGCAGAGTTTCACAGGAATTTAACCTGAGTCTGATACAATGCAGTATTTCCAGGTCTGACCCAAAGATAGAATAAGGTATTATACTAAATGTGCAAATAACACCAAGCTGGGGAGAAGTACAAGGTTATGAGAACAATTATTTTTCATACTCATAGGGTAAGAACAATGTCTATGGGTTGAACATCAGCTAGGACACTTCTAGGAGCGTGGGAAGCAACGAATGAGGTCAATGGCTAGAGAAAAAGTATTTTGGAGACTTCTAGGAGCAGTCTGGTTAAATGCTGATCAGGAATGATGCAGCTAGAACTGACCCAGTCATGGGACAGCAGAGATGAGTTAAACAGCCCGCTGAGGTGGAAATCACTGACCTGGTAAAACAACAGTTGGAAATATGGGTGACAGCTCAAAGCTATTTTAAAAATGAGCTCATGCCACTTCAAAGAAATGACAGCTTCACAGCTCTTTTTCATGGCTGCCTGGAAATTCTGGGCAGTTATACTCTGGGGAGATGGGGCTGTATGATGCCACTTGAGAGCAATTGACAGAAAATATGCTCTAATTCTTGGCAATAAAAAGTTTTATTGTTTGCTTTAGTCACACTCTTTTCACCATTGCAACATCACCAGGACAGCATTAATTTCACAAGTCTTAGCTTGCAGTACTTCACCTTAAGATAAAGAGAAGCAGTGAAAAACAGATATGGGTTTACTTTGGATTGGTGTACATTGTAAAGTACATGCAAATTAAGGTACATATGCAAAAAAGAGCACTGAACTGCACAGAAATATGCTTATTAAGTAACTTCAGAGGCTGCCATCAAGCATTACCACCACTTTGGGTATGTTAGTATGCTTGAGTTCCTTTCAGGTACCATTCTGGTTTCACATAAAAATTGCAAGACTTGGTGTGTTAAAGGGAAAAAATGTTCAGGATAAAGATCCTGTGGTCCACTGAGCCAGGTAATCAAACCTAGAGCTGCTCACAGCAACTTTCTGTGAGCTACTGTTCCCAAAGGTTTTGTTAGACAGGGCTCTCTCATATTATGAAATGCCCAAGAGGGGGGCATTTTCGTAAGTCCCAGAAACACATCTTTGGGCCTGTGTTTATGTGAAAAATTATATGCGACATGTAGTGAAACAGTGTCCGAAATGAGCAAATGTGCACAAAGATGTAACTGCAAGTTCTTTCTATCAAACAGCTTTTGATAATGACTTGGGACAAGAAACAGTGTCAAAAATTTGTGGGGAGTTGTGAAAAATAGCATATCTATAGCTTTTGGTTAAAAATACTCTGATGCTACATATACCCACTATTCTTTTATTCTATTTTGATGTTTTTGCATAAGATGTTTTTCTGAGGACAGGAATTGTGCCTTTGTTGAAAATTTATTATGAATATTTACTCATTAAGATTTCACAAGGAGCAACAAAACAACAAAAGTTGCACAAAGATACAGCAACATGGAAGGATTTGGTTAATCACAGAATTACATAGCCTTGTGGTCTTCCTCATCCATTATACCAGAGCAGGCTGCTACAACAGAGATGAAAGAGATTTCCTGAGTGGTATTAGCTTCAGTGTCAGCAAAACCATCAAATTACATCCCGCAGGGGAAGGTATTGCTGAAGTGCTCAAGATATTGAAGATCTAACAGATTTACAGAGCTGCATAAGCAGGTTTTTACATAAGATTTCTAGACTGAGATGTGCAAATCCCTGGAATGCTTTCATTGCCACCAGATGGTACACAAGACGGGAAATATCAAGTGTGAAACCATTAAGAGAAAGAGGTCAAATATCAGCCATCGAGGTGGTAACATCTGGATGGTCAGTAAGCTTGTGTGGGAAGAAATTCAGAAGTCTGTTTGATGCAGTATTTAATTTTCAGTTTAAAGAAGTTTATTGATGATGGAAAAAACCCATTCACTTCTTGCACTAACAAAATCAAGCAAGTTTTTTTGTTTTCTAAACAAGTTTCTTTAATGAATAGCACCTTCTATATTTGAGTGTTGAAATTTTCCATCTCTGATGATTAACAGAATGAGGCAGATAAATCTGTCTTTCAGCGCCATAATGCACTCTGTCTCCTAACCCTCAGCATGGTGGCCTCTTTTCCCCTCAAATCTTTCAGAACAGTGAAACCATAAAATAATATTCACTGTCATGTCAGCACTGAGTTAAAGCTGTTAATGGAAAAAAAAAACTTATTTCACAGGGTTCTGAAAGAAGAAGTTTGAGGTGATGTGAGTAATTTGGGCATTTATGCCACTTTACATTGCTGCTAACAGTAATAATCCCTTGACTGCCCTCACTCAGTGCCTGGAACTTGAGAACATTTTCATGTATTACATGACAATTTCTATTGACTTTATTCTCCAAACATCAAGGCATGATGAAAATTGTTTCATCAGCTTGAAATCTGACAGTCATTAGTCTGAGTTTCAGACCAACAAAAACTGGAAAAGTGATGATCAGAAGTGCATGGTCTTCCAGGCACATCTGGCACACTTCTGTTTCATGTAACTTTTTGAACTTGCTGCAATGCAGTTCCTTTGGGGAGCTCCTCATGTATGAAAGGATTATTTTCTCTTTCTTTTATTTTATTTTGGAATAATAACAAAAAAATATTTGCAGAGAGTATTGTCCGGTTTACAAATGAGATGCTAAACCAGCAACCATTCACGTAATCTGCCACTGTAGATTTGGGAAGCCAAAAAAGAGTCTGAGTCAGCCAGGTCTCTGAGGTCCCAAATTGCATTTATTTTCCTAAACTCATGCTGAGCTCAAAAGGAGTTGAGCTGCCTAAATAATTTTTCTTAGTTTTATTGGTAAAACCTCCAGACTGTTTAAAACTCGTGTTCCAGATAATAGAAGAACTATAAGCCCGTATTTTTATATTAGCACATAAACCCATCTACAGATAACATTCTAGTAATTATTTAGATAGCGGCAACA